CCACGCACAAAACTTCTTCAAACTTGTTGATCCTCTTCAGGATCCTGAAGCGTTGCAAGCCGTTTAGTAAGATTCCCTGAATCTGACCCTGTGGCGCTCAAAAAGGCAATAGGAAATTATCTCGCCACAGTGCTTGACAGCCGCTGATGCTATAAATAGCCCCAGATGGTGTTATCTTCACCAGAGATTGACACAGACTGTCAATCTCCCTCAGCGCTGCCCAGGGATGAAGCCGCTTAGAGATCCCTGAAGTCCCCAGGGGTAATTCGCCACTCTGAGGTAATTCGCTATGCTGTCCTCAGGGTTGGCTATGGCGAATTAGCCTTGTGCTCGCCACTTCTTAACAAGCGCCCTGACAGGCTCAGTGTCTGCTCAGTGCAATCACTGAACTCCTGATTTCACCGCTTTAGATCTTCTTCCCTGTTGACTCAGTATTGGGGAAGATGAATTGCCATGAACCTCTTGCCAGTCTATCGCAAGATGAAGAAAATGCCCCTTCGCACTCAACCCTCAGTGCTCCAATTCCAATCCTGCTCTGATACCAACTGTTATGAACTTGGTTGTCTGACAATTTTTACCGCCACTCACACACAAACAGTCTCATACACGCCCATACATGCATAAGAGAAGGGGGAGAGGAGACAAAGTCCAAACTGTGCACATATCAAAGTATGTAGCGGAAGTTCAGCCATGCACAGATGGGGAGAAGACACTGCGTGAATATCACTCTCTGACAAACTCCCAACAACCAATCACAAGAAGAAACCTGTGAGGATAACAATTGGAATTCACACTGATGATGAGCCAATTAAGACCAGATATCGTTACCGAGTTTGTTCCAGTATCTCGCCACTTTCAGAACCCCATACTTCACTCTCTACCCTACACCCAGTTAGTAGCGCACAACCGAAACAGCCTCCCAGAGGCCAGCGCCAACCGCCTAGATGAAGAACAGATCCTGCGATGAAGTCTTCAGTGCCGCTGAAAAACTCTGACGAAGGAACAGGCAGCTATGGCTGCCGCCACCCACAAACACTTAGTGAAGAGCCTCGAAGTAGCCTGGCCATATGCAGATACCCTCAGGGGTAGATGCGCTGAGGATGTCCCAGCGCTGACAACCTTCAGGAGGGCTGGCTATGGCTGCTGTCCGCGGCAAGGGTCTCAGGATGCCGCTTGTAGACAATTACCACCGCCAACTTGCTTGGCTTCTCCAAACGCTGCTTGGCGAAAATGAACAGCCAAAAGTCATGAATCGATTTTCCTAAACTATTAATAGACCTCTACTACCCTAGCCTAGACCTAGACCAGACTGACTGGACCGATCGGTACTATTCCAGTTTCGGCCTCTCGGCCTCTCCCTACCCGGCTATAGGTTATAGGACCGTCTATCGGTATAGGCCCTTCGGGCCTGTCCGTACTAGGGGTAGCTCGGGTCTTCTATATGCAGTAGGGGTAGCTGTAGGAAATACGGGTTAGTGTTGGGCCTATATTTCCCATATTCGCAGATATGTCCCTCACGAATTTTCCGTACAGGTAGGTCTCTCGGTTAGCCCTCAGCCAAACAAAATAACGAATCTACCCTACCGCTGGTACTGTACAGCCTCGCAATCAGTCTCGGCAGTCAAAATCAACAAGTCATTGCACTTGTGTATTTGTAACAGTTGGTAGACTGTAGTAGGGTCCGTAGGTTGTAGGGGTTCGATCTGTAGACCTGTCGAATAGAGGTCTTAGTGAGTTCTAGAAGTCGCACCTGTAGGATTCCTGAAAGGTCAAGGTCGTAGTTGCTACAGCCCCGAAGGGTCAAGGTCGTAGCTGCTACAGTGACGAAGGGCCAAGAGTATAGACTTTCGGAAGCTTCGGAAGTGGCCCTTCACACGTTGCTGACAGTAGTCCAGAGGCAAGTGGGCAAGTGGTGGAGTCCACATGTGTTGAGTCAGCGGTACCAGTCCCAGTCAGTCCTAGTCCAGTCGAGCAAGTGCCGTATGGGACTGTGTGCTCCACGGGCATGGGGAAGGGGCAGACCAACGAGTTACAAAAGTACAAATCAAGAGGCAGCGCCCAACCATTCATTCATTCCTGCGTAAGCCATGCGGGAGCACTGCCACAGCGACTTGTGCGAGGTGGTCTGCTGTATGCCCGAAGACGAAGTGGGCCGAAGGAGAGCTTAGCCATAGCGGTAGAGGTAGTAGCGGCCATAGCCGCCATAGTTGGGAGAAGAGTGCAGCATGTGTGTGCGTGTGTGTACAGTGAGTAGCGTGTGGGATATCCAGGGTGATCCTGTGTGTGAACAATGCAGTTGGGACACGGTAGTGAACAGAGAGTTGTTGGGCGCTGATGCGCCATACAGGCATCTGAAGGGAGCTTGTACCTGAACTGGATTCTTGGTTGCCATATCTTTGAACTTTGAGTGGGCGCTTGTCGCCAGTTTGCTGTGCTTCCTGTTTACATGTATGTGAAGTGTGGAAGAAAGCGAGTCTGATTGCAATTATTTCCAAATTTTGATAATTTGGAAAACGAAGCGGTCGAGTTACCTGGGCTGATGTCACCCTTAGCCCCGCTGTGTCCCATCGTCTATTCCGTGTTTCGACTTAAAGATATAGCCTTTGATCAGTGATTGTCTTGAATACCCACGCAGAAATCTTTCCAGCCCTGTCAGAGGGTTCAGCTTCGACACTCCGGACAACCTCGAGCAACTGAAGTCCCTAGCCGTACGCAACAACAAGAAGAACCCCGTGAATCAGCCAGCCTCGACCAGCAACCGATAATGCCCTATATGAAATTACGAACAGCACAAGAATGGACTAGTCTTAATGGGGGTAGCGAAGCAGGTGAAATCGAGGTCCGTGCACACACAAAAATAAAAGTCCTAATAGGGCCAAGCAAAAGGGGTTGGATGGGGTTAACATTGAGAGACATGTTACATACTATGGGGCAGAACCAAAGATCAACCAATATAGGATGAGTATGTATGCAACGGAAGTCTGATAAACGGACTGACTCACATAGACAGACTCACATAGATATCACTCCACACACATACAATCGTGAGATGGTGGGGTCTGAGCCAT